CCCACCCCCCCCCCCAAAAACAAAAAAAAACCCAAACAAAAACAAAACCAAAAAACAAAACAAAAAACAAACAAACCAAACAAACAAATAACAAAAAACCCAAACAAAAACAACAAACAACAACCTCAAAAACAAAACAACAAAACAAACAAACAACAACAAAAACAACCATACCCCAAAATAACAGCAACAAACAAACAACAATAACCAAAAACAATCCCCCCCCCAAAAAAAAACCCAACAACCAACAACAACAAAACCCCAAAAACTAAACAAAACAACCACCACTCCAGAACAAAAACAAAATTGAATCCGATATCAAAGCATGAAAATATGTTTGTATCTCTTACCCTAGTCACGCAACAAGGTACATCGAGCGAGCATTTGATTACTACTCACCACTACTGCCTTAATTAGTCATAATCAATACTGACCGGGGCCCGTTCGCTACCTCAGAATTACACTGTTCTAATTGACATTTAAAAAATACCGTTTTGAGTTATTAAGACAATGAGCTCAGAAAACAAATAGATCTATCTGCTCTATTAAAATAGTAAGATTATTCGGAGTTGTTTCCTGGATATTCAAAGAAATGCATTCGAAAAAACTTGACCTGTTGTGAAACGCGAAATTTTTTTACGTCAAATTTCTCTAAACTAGGTGCTGAGCAGATAAAACTTTGGAATTAGATGATAGTGAGCTCATGATCAGTTTCTGCAATATGTGACCTTCTCTTGTCCTATTTTTAATAAGGGGGGGAGTTCTGAAACCTCCGAAGTTACTTCTCTGGCCTTCATTGTGGCATGTAAGGATTCCGAAATAACATTTGTTATGTGTAAAATAAAAAATGTTATTTTTAAAAAGGTAGAGGAAAAAGAGAATGGAGGAGAAGGGATGGGTTCAATACTACAACAACAACAACAACAACAACAACTACTATTACTACTACTACTATTGCTACTACTACTACTACTACTACAACTACTACTACTACTACTACTACTACTACTACTACTACTACTACTACTACTACTACTACTACTACTACTACTACTACTACTACTACTACTACTACTACTACTACTACTACTACTACTGCTACTACTACTACTAATGCTACTACTACTACTACTACTACTACTACTACTACTACTACTACTACTACTACTACTACTACTACTACTACTACTACTACTACTACTACTGCTAGTAATACCTCTTATCTTCGGCACTTAAAAGTTACACACACTTATTATGACCTAATCGTATTGCAAGTTAGAGAGAGAGAGAGAGAGAGAGAGAGAGAGAGAGAGAGAGAGAGAGAGAAAGAGAGAGAGAGAGAGAGAGAGAGAGAGAGAGAGAGAGAGAGAGAGAGAGAGAGAGAGAGAGAGAGAGAAAGAGAGAGAGAGAATAATTTAACCTCTTCTGTCACTTCTAAAGAGCATCCATGATCAACACAAAACCATCTTGGAAAAATCAGACGAGATGAAAGACTACTGCACTCCATCCTTACTTATAAGTATAGGCTAATTTAGTCAAACTCCCAGTTCTGTACAAACGTGTGCATAAGGCACACTGTGCCCTCCGTTCCCTTCTCACAGCTCCCTTAAAACCCCTCCCCCTCTCCAAGCCACCACTATAATTAGTAATAATTACAAAAAGACCCTCTTTACAAGCTGACACTTCCATCCAGGCGTACTCTGTAACTATAACAAAAACCTGGGATAACAGCTGGCGTCGCTGTGAAAGGGGTTAAAACAAAAAACAGTATCGTCATCTAACAGCGCAAAGAATGAAACCAAACGTTATGATAACATATCTCTTTCTATGAGTCCAGT